AGTATCACAGAGGTGGATAACACATGGTTCCAGGCAAAAACTAAGATATCTGGGAAGCAATTTTGGTTTAAAAAAATTAAAAAAAAAAAAAAAAAAACACGCCGGATGCTTTGACAGAAGTATGACGAGACACGCTGCACTGGCTGGACTAAGAAGTAATTTGTAGATTGTCCAAAAGCACACTGGAGAAGATAAGGAAATGGGCAGTAATAAAATTCTGAGTCACATATAAATATGGCTGCCCAGAATAAAGATCATCTCCTAGCTCCTTGTAGCCACATGTAGCCATGTTAACAGATTCTATCCAGCAGACACAATGGAACGCCTTAGAAGCTCCAGAGAAGCTTTCTTAAGAGGAAGCTGATCTACACCTGATCCCATCCTCTGTATGATCACATGATCAGACAGGCCGTCTTGGATGAGGCCCATTCCCGGTTCCTGAGGAGCAGAGGCAGGCCTGAATCCAAGCCTGGGTTTTTGCTATGCCATTTTAGGTTGTTCAAAACCCTCATGTAAAGGTGCTCCTGAAGAACTCCTGAAGGCAGGTGGGGGAAAGGAGGCCAGTCTGGACATGAAAACAGCATAACAAGAGGGCTGTTGATGTGAAATAACCTGATGTGTCTGTGACAAGAAGCAGAACCATCCCAGGGGAAAGAGGCCATCAAAAAAAGGAAAAAAAACAAACAAACAAACAACATTTAGTGGTGTATTTCCCCCCTTTTAAAACTCACAGAGACTAACTGAAACATCCAAATATGCCTTGGCCATGGTGAGGATCGGGTAATGCACTGTGAAGGGAGGCCTGGGTTTAAACTCAACCCTGCGGATTCAACACAAGTCCTTTGAAAATACTGGCCATTCTCCTCTTACTATAGTCAGCACGTTATTTACCCCATGGCTTATTGTCAAACACATACTGTCAACTAGTACAATTTCTGTAGACAGCCTCTATAAAAGCAGAGCCTCTGCATGGCACTGCAAAGGGGGTTAGAAATCTAGTTGACGAACAAGGGTTTGTTCTCTGTAACTCTACACACCCAGTCCCACCAACCCTCCACAGTTCCCTTCTCGCTTACCCAGGGGAATTAAGAAGTGTGGGTCTCTGAAAGATTTCAAGAAGGCGAAAAAGGGGGCTGGGAAGATGGGTCAGGGGTTAAGACACGTACTGCTCTCACAGATTTTAGTTCTCAGCACCCAGGTCAGATAACTCACAACCACCTGGAACTCCACATCCAGGAGGTCGGATGTCTTTTTCTGGCCTCCGTGAGTACCAGCACACACGGAGACATAAGCAATAAAATAAATCTATTTTTAAAAGCCAAAAGGACTTTTCCCATGCCATTAGCTGGCTTATCCAGAGACTTAAACTGAGCCCAGATGGGAGAAAGAACCGCTGAGCAGCAGCTCTGGGGTCTGAGGACGTGGATCTGAGGGTAATCTCTTGGAAAGGCGTGATTTACTGGCCATCAGGACACTAATGGATGGCCGTTTATGGTATTTGTTCATGTGCACACAATGTGTCTGTCTGAACATTTTGTATTATCGGACTATTAAGAGGATATTAAAATAAGTCTCAGAAGATTTGATATTCTGTCCCAGCGAGGGTGAAACACTACTAGTTTAGCCAATCTCTGAGCTAGCTCTCACTTCCTGCTGTGGAAGTGAGACCTCCAACGACACCACTGATAAACTGCTGCCGCTAATGCAAAGACTCAGCTCTCAGGGGCCTAACAAAGAGTGTGCACTGCGGAGCTTCCGGTTTTTCCAGGTTTCCACTCCAGCAAACTCTACCTCAGTGTCCCCGATCTAGCCACATCCTGCATTTTCCATTATAAAAAATGACTTGGGGGAAGATTCCTGACAGCTTAATTGCTGACATCTTTCATAGGTAAACTTTGTTTCTGTAAGAATGTGCCTAATAAAGACTCTAGGGTGGAGGGAGTAAGAAAGTGAAGGAGGGATTGCAAGAATGTGGGTAAGGAGAGGGTGCAGTGATAAGAGCAAGAAAGGAGGTAAACAAGACCAAATTACAGAGAATTTAAGTGTAGATGGGCATATCACAAAGGAATCTGGTAGAATGGTGCAATTTACGTCTCCAAGAAGGAAAAAAAAAAAAAGTTTCAACCCATGAATTACCTATCCACAGATTCCCAGAATAATTTTTTAGGAGCTAAGTAACTAGATCTTGTGTGCTCACAGGTGTCAGATCTCTCCTTCCACTACGTGGAACTTGATAGAGCGCAGAATGTCATGCCTGACAGGAAGTTTCCCTGCCCACTGGGCCACCCTGCTGGCTGTGGAGCTTCGTAACTTTAAAGGACAGTCCTGTGCACTTTAAATACACGGCAGTTACAAACAGGGCTGCAGTATAGATGGCCCCATGATGCTGAACATGAGCAACGCCACGGGTCATCAGTCACCAATGAACACTGCATGCCTGCCAAGGGCATAGAAATATGCATCACACAATCACTTCTCAGGGTGACCAATTCCTGCCACTTCATTCACCCGTGGAAAATGCTTTGGTCATGTGTGTTCAAGGACCAAAGCACCTAGAACTGTAGGAACCGTTAGAAGTAGGGCCTATAACACAAATGGGCAAGCAAGTTCATAGTAACAGTGTCCTGGTTTGGGGGTATAGGCTCAGTATTTCTATCATTCATTCCTTCGTTAATTAGTTGACCCTATTATTCAGCTAGCTGAGAAAAACAAGCTGTTTTCCAGCTGCTTCCAAGAGAACAAGCTACAGGCTGGAACGGATCTTGGGCCTTGCATTGAAATAACATTGAGGCAAAAGGGGTGCAGAGGTAACACCCAGGAAGAAAATAAACCACTCAGGGTGCCTGAGGAAAAAAACTAACTTCAGAACCAGTTAAGGGTATGACAAACCTCAAACTACAGAGGGTCCACACATTTAAAAAATGGCAAAATTTAAAACGAACACTTGATACTTGTTTAACCCTTTCAAGTAAAAACAGAGATAGCTGAGTAACGGTTTACAAAGAGGGCTGGGGATACAGCCATGTGACAGAATGCTTACCTCACACACTCGAGGCCACGAGTTCATGCCCAGCACTGAGAAAAAAAGTTACAAAAGGAAACCTGGATAGAATTAATCAACCAGGTTATTTTCCAGACTGCCTGGATATTTTCATTGTTAAAGCTGATTTGGCGTTGTCTCCCCAGGCAACTGTAGCCATACCCCTCTGCCACACAGCTTCGAAATCATCTCGTGGCCATTACATCTGGGATTATCTTCATGTTACTATTCCCAAAGGGTCAGTTCCCAAGGATCAGCGCAGGGCTCAGGAAACAGCACATGACGCTGGAGAGTCACCTAGTGGCTGCTGTTAGCATGCCAGGCAGTACTCTCACCAGGCTAAGCACCTGATACATTACTAAGGTGCTCTGTTACTTTGTAATCTTAACCTCTGACTATACCCAAGGCTTTCAGGGAGGCCGGGCAATTCAGCATTAGAAGAAAAAGAAACCACAGCCTGAATGCACCATCACTGTGCTCTGTTGATGGAGATGTCTACTCTAAGCATGAATCTGACTAGCTCTTTCATCCACTAGGGGAACCTGCTACTGTGAGAAAAAGAACCAGTCATAAGAAAAGATTGCCCTTGGCAGACATCCAAGCTTACCCTTGGAGATATCTATGGCTACCAGGACATTTCCTATGATGCTTTCAGTTCACAGGATGCCAGCAAGGGTGAAGGGGAGCTGAGCAGCTTCCTGAGACTGGGAGAACTATGAGGTGTTAAAAACACTATGTTCAGGAAACAGTACCAAGTTCGAAGCAGGGCTCTGGGGGCTAAACTTAGCTCATTAAAATTATGTGTCTGTAAAATGGTGCTGATCTAAAATAGTTATGCACCATTCAATAATAAAAATGTTTTTTTTCATCTTAAAAAACCAGCAAAAAGTGGGACTAGAAAAAGCTAGAGCTTTGGAACATTCAGTCTTATTCCTAGGTGGTGGTTAATAGCTTCAATATAGTTTTCATCTCAACAGCAAAAGCATCAGCTTCTGCTTGGCTTTGTCAGGTAATAGCACACTGCCATTTCAGTAACCATAGGCAATCGATTTCCAATGCACAGATTAAAAAACTTCAAAGCATTTCCATTTTCTAGTTTTGTTTTGTTTTGTTTTTTCTGGGCCGGGCTTCCCTCTTTTCTCTCAATCTCAATTTTCCCCATCACTTCAGTGGGCAGTCTGACTGTTGGTAGAATCCTGGCATAGATCTCTAGGATTTTCCTGGTTCCTTTCTGGTGACTCAATCTTATTTCTTAAAAACAAAGAGGAAACCACCACTTCGCTGTGGAGTTGCCAAGAGATCAGAGGGTTAGAAATGAGAACCGAGGGTTCATTCATGTCCTGGCTGTTTGTGCTCTGATTTTCAACCCCACAACCTGGCCACACAGGCTTCCTGACTCAATCAAAGACCCATATCCCCATATATAGCCAGAAGATACTGAATTTGTCCTTGATCCCAGGAGCTACACTATCTCCTGCTTTGGAAGATGTTAGCATCTTATGAAACATAACACAGAAAATAAGTTGTGTTTGGGACCTGCAGGGAAGCCTGGAGCAGAAATCAGACTTGAAGGCTCAGCAGAATCTTCTGAGGCACTTGCTCATACTTAGCCCGCCTACACAGCTGCCAGCCAAATCTGGGACGAGGCCCAGCCATTTGCATTCCTGATTAGCATGCTCCATACTACCCCTCCCCTGTGAGGCACGCAGACCAGCTTTAGGAAACATGAAACAGCAACTGGGCACTTAGGGTACCAGGCAGAAAACCATGCACACAGAAACACGAGAGGCATACTACACTGTAACATTCACCCACGGGCAAACACACACGTCGGACCCACGCAAGCTCGCGCTGCCAACCCCACGCTCACCTCAAGTTCTTTGAAAATTCATGTGTCCAAATAACCTTCATTCAAATGAAAATAAAAAGAAAAAAAAAGTGCCAATTCTGAATGCAGATGGATTTTTTAAGGTAAGCAATTATTTTATTTCCCTGGCCTGACAGCATTGACTTCAAAGTACTAAAACCTGCAGCCAACAGGGCAGACGTACAGATTGCTCCCAGCTGGGAGGATGCTCTGCATTTGTAGAGATGAGTTGAAATGTCACATGTGAATGCAATTCCTGGTCCCGCCCCCTCCCCACAGAGTCCCTAAATGAAAATGAATGAGTAAAACCCCCCACGAAACGCTGGAATCCTCACTCCATCTTTTCTGTAGAGCAGATGCCATGGAGGGAAAACAGCTGGCCATCACTTAGCATTCCAGTGCGTGTGGGACTGAAGAGACCGAGGCAGGGGGAGGATGCGTGGCCGGTGTGCAAATCTAGCTTACCTTGTAACCTGGACCCTCCACACATAGACGCTCTGTCCCTGTACGTGAGAAAAGTGAAGGAAATGCTAGAGGACTGATCCTGAGGCTCCTGAAATTCCAAGGTACTCATGGGATGAGGAGCAGAGATGTTCAACCCTGAACTCCAGTTTAATGCCATCGAAAACTACTGGCAATCATAATCACGTTCCCGAACAACAACCCTATTTTCTAAGATGACTCCATCTAAACATCTGCGCAAGTGTCCACTGCGCGGCGCTGTGACACCGGGGGTGGAAGAAAAGGACTAGGAGAGGGAGGAATCGGAGACAGAGGTCAATGACAGTAGGCATCTTTTGGTCCCTTAGGTATGGTCCCCTACAGTTTCTAAAGCATTCTTTCCCCTTTCCGTCTGTGGCCAATACAAATGCCAAATACCAGACCTCTGCCCAAAGAGACGGGAGTTGCTGCTGAACTGTATTCTTCCCTAGTGGCCACCCGCCTTTCTCCCAACCCTCTGATGAAACTGCACGGGAGCTCACAAGCAAGGCTGTGAGTTATGCTGTCACTACCCGGCTCTCACAGCCAATCCAACACAAGTTCCTCCTGGGCTGAGGAAGCAGAGAAAAATTAACAGTTGAGCTTGTGAAAAAAAGACAACAGTGTGTGCGGTGTGATGTTTTCCGATGTCTTCACCTGCGTCTCCTCCACGGTCGGGAGCCCTCCCTCCGGTTCCCCGAGTCCCACGCGCACCCCTCCCCTACCCCCGAGTCCAGGTGCTCCCATCTGCTGGGCTTCTGCCTCATTTCCCATAGACGCTTTCATCACTGTAGGCCACATACAGAAAATAGTCTTCCTCGTGGTTGTCCTAAAGGAGGAGACGATAAGACAGTTCAGAAAATATTAAACATTCACGTTTGCTATCTCTATCATTCTGAGCCTTGAACAATCTTGTAGGGGAGCCATGAAGTCCTCCCCTTCATTAATCCCCTTAAAAAAATGAAACAGGGTTGGGGTTACAGCCCAGTGGTAGAGCACTTGTCTAGCATGTGTGACACCCGAGGTTCAAGTTCTAGCAGTACAAAAAAGGAAAAAACAAAACAACAAAAAACAAAGAATAAGAGGTATCAACTACACATTGAGCTCTGACTTCACAAGCACAAGGTTTCGTAGATAACATATCACCAGCAGCAGAAAAATAACTCAGGTTTTAGAAAGCAATCATTCTACAGTCAGCTTTAGTCAGAGACCTTTCTTTCTGCAGTGGTCAGCAGTGACTACGGTGAATGTTTAAAGCCTGGTCACACACAGTTCATCTAAATCGGCCCCTCCAAAGCTCAGGGGAGACTAAAGAACGTAGGACCCAGAGGAAGGGTGGTGAGAGGTTCGGAATGCTGACTTCCAGGCGTAAGACCGCTGCTGAAGTCTCGAACTCACAAGCAGCTTTGATCATCTATCTGCACCACTTCTCCATGAAACTGAGCTTATCAACACTCCATTGTGAAGGAGACGGGGGTCTGAGAGTCCAACCCTTTCTGAGGATCTACATGTAATTAATGTTTGATGGGGGCGGGAAGCCATTCTCTGTAGTGGTGTAGACACAGGATAGCTGACCATACTTCTACGAGCAAACTTTTACCACCCTCCTGTAAACAAAAATCCATTTCGTTAACAAACAAAAGAAATAGGTCTACCTGGTAAGATAAGGAAGAATGGGAGGGGAAACAGACAAGCTAAGGAACTGGGGTAAGGAGTGCGTGACTGAAATGTATGAAAACACAAGAAAACCGATTACTTAAATGAATATATGCTAATAAAAGACCCTGAAAGAAAATCTGCTGGGTGTAATGAGTACGTTGGAGGCTGAAGTAGCAACACTGAAGCCTGAAGCCAGCCTGGGCTGCATGGCAAATTCCAAGCCAGCCTGAGCTTCATGTCAAGACACTGTCTTAAAAAAAAAAACAAACAAAAGGTCCTCAAGGCTTAACAGGGATGGCTAATGAAATAAATATCAAAACAAACAAAACCAAACAAGTACACTACAATATAGAACCCTGGTAAATGGGTCTGTATTTTCTTTTTTTTTTTTTTTTTTTTTTTTGGTTTCTCTGTGTAGCCTTGGCTGTCCTGGACTCACTTTGTAGACCAGGCTGGCCTCGAACTTGCAGCAATTCACCTGCTTCTGCCACTCTGAGTGCTGGGATCACAGGCATGTGCCGCTGTACCAGGCTCCCGTCTGTATTTTCAGTAAAACTCTTTCAACTTTTTGGCAGGTTTTCAACGCTTTCACAAACAAAATGTTGAGATACAATTCTCATCTTGAAAAAAATATATATATTATTCTAGGGCAGGGAGGATGCATCAGTAAAGGCTCGCCTTGAAAGCCCAGAGGACGTGACTTCAAAAATGGCCAGCCTCCTGGTGTACACCCGCAAGCACAGACACACCATTTAAAAAGAACCCCTCACTCTAGCAGGGCGGGCAGAGATACGGCAAGGCACATCCTGTATGCACGTGAAACGAGGGCTAGAGCAGGGGTCACCAGGTGTGCACATGACGAGCTAACAGGGCACGGCGTCTTGCGTGACGTCTTTCAAGGAGTGGTACAGCTGCCATCTTAGACAACGCCACGAGTGTGAGCTCCTCACCACAGTTTACCTCAAAGAACCAGAGTCTGCCTTCACCTTTTAGCTCATTCACTGGTACTCAGATAACGGGAACTCCTCATGATCTAAGGTTTGTTCCAGAAAGACAGCGTTCGGATGCGGCTCAGCTGATCTTGACAGTTTGTGCTGGGGCTAACTGCTGAAGGCAGGGCTCCAGGGTCAGACCGAAAAGGGGCTGCCCCTTGCAGGTGTCCTACTGCTCCGTCCGGGTGCCCAGCAAGCTGGGAGTGGAGGGCACAGCTCACTAACGAACTGTTCTCCCAGAGAAAGGGACAGAACCACGGGCTCCCGGTGATGCTCTGCTCTCAAGAACCACTCCAGACAGCCATAAGGCACTACAGTCGGGCAAGGCGACGGAAGAGAGATTTCAGAAGATTAAACCGAGTGGGTGCTGCGTCCCTAAATGACAGGGGGTATCTAATCTCCCAGCTTCACACTGCCGTGAGTAAGAGGATCCCCACAAATAACACCGCCTGCCCTACTTCCCAGGTGTTTAACCAACCCTGGAACCAGAAGGCGATGACGGCAGGCTGCCAGAGACCGGGACCAAAACCATTACCTCATACAGCTGGCCCATGGTAGCACTGGTGGGCGGGATAGTGTTGTTGACAAAGAAGAATAAGGCGTCCTCGGGTCTCAGGTGGATCCTCTTCCGGATTAAGAAGTAGAACTGGCCAACTTCACAAAGGCAACAGCGAGCAGGGCAGGGCGTGAAAGAGGATTAAAGGGAGAAAAATCTCAGAAAAACCAAAACCCAACATCCCCGAGTTAAGTACAAGCTTTTCAGACCCAAATACTGTCCAAGAGACCTTCGTGGCAAAACGAAGGCCTGTACAGCCCCTGACACACCAGCGCTGCACTGCTTTCCTTCCGTTAGCATACCCCCCCAGCCTAGTGACCGCTGTGGGGGAGTATGATCGAAGCATTCCCATCTAAAACAGACCACCCCCCTCCCATGCCTTTCAGCCCCATTTGCACCGAGAGCTAACAATGGGAAGAGAGCCATGCCGCGGGCGCGGGACTCTGGCCATCCCAGCACCATGGGGGCTAACACTAGGGCAATGAGTGCATTCAGTGTTTAACTTCTCCCTCCAAGCAACAAAAAGCTTCTCCACGGCTGATTAATAAATGCATGAGCACTGGAGCAAGCATACCTAAAAGAATCTTTGCAGGGTATCCTGAAAGCACTTAGTACTTCATTAAGAACAAGGTAAAGTCTACATACATATGCTTCAAAACAGAAGATAGGCTAAGGTCTGCAGTTTTCCTCACCCCCCCCCAACCGAAATACAAATAAAGCACTTAGATATAATCTCTGACACGTGATCCTCCCAAGACACTGGGCTAGCTTTGGAACAGATCGACCTCAGGACACCATGGTATAAATTGGTATAAAGTGGTATAAATTGCAAACTATTGTTTTTTTTTATTCCCATAGTACTGCTTTGTTCTGTCTCCGAGATTAAGGCACGTGAGTAAGGCACTGGGAAATAAACAGAACTGGAAACAGGAGGGCAAAGTAAGCCTAGCTGCACTGGCCAGCTCCTGGAAGAAACCCATGCATGGCTTAGACTTGAAATGAAGATCAAGAATGCTTTGGCTGGAGTGAGGGTCAGGAGAAAGATCATTACCGGTGAGGTCAGAGGGTACAAGGTACTTCCTCTTGTCCAGATCAGGGACCCTAGCTTTAGGAGCCTTTTCCACGATGACCTAGAAAAAGAAGAAGAGGGTGGGGATGAAAACTGCAAAGCCTCGCACTGCCTTTTTCCTTCTGCACCTTAAATTTAGGCACACTAGGCTCAGTGTAATTTTTCAGTCCTTTCTTTTCAATGCTCCTTGACCTCAAGTAACTATAAATTACCAATAAAGGGCTGTAAAAGATATTTACCTTATATTTTATTAGAGAATCAAAAACATGATGTGTTTCTAAGACAGTCTGATGACCTACTAGTTTTGTTTTTTTCTCTAAAACACCACTTATGGAGATAGTATGGTGATAGACGGCACTCTGTCGAAGTGTGAAGAGTGAATTCTGACCCCTAAACTCCGTGTGAATGCCGGGTGGATGTGTGGGCCCAGCGCTGGCTTCCCTGGGCCAAGCTCTCTGGCTGGACTAACTAAAGTGGCAAGATCTGGGTTTACAGCGAGTAACGTGAAGAGCAACTAAAAACTGTACCAGACAGCAACGTCTGGCCTCCAGACGAATACACATACTCACACAAATGTCCCCTCCCATGTCCACCCGCTTACACAAAATGGCATTTATTTAGATATGGCATTACAGCTTAGATTTCCAATGCCTTCCGAAGGCCTCTATGTTAACGAGGCGCTCCTACCTTGGTGCTTTGAACAAGTGAAGGAAGCTAAGGGGTGGGCATCATGGGAGTTTTAGGTCACTGAACCATAAAGGCTGATCTCCATCTGTTGTTGCTTCTGTGCTTCCACCATGACAGTCTGACTCACCACCGGCCCAGAGAATGGAGCCAACTGAGCACGGACTGAGATTTCTGAAGCCAGTAGCCTTCTTGCCTTACAGAAGTTGACTGCCTCAGACATTGCTACAGCGACAACTAACACACACAGCTCGGATTTCGATCTTTACAGAGAAGCACTCACCACTAAGTGAAAACATCTATGAATTTTTATAATGAATGACACTTTATGAAGGCAATGCACTGAACCATTCAGCATTGTGAACTGTGTTAGGATTTTATGGGATTCTCAATATCTACATCAAATATTTTTCTACATTAAATATTTTTATGAAGTTTTTAAAGATTATGCATTTTGTAACAAAGAAAATGATACATAAAACATTAGATGATATATATATTTACTTAGAAAACAGAAAATATCTGCAAGAATATTCTTTGTTTTGAAAAACTCAGATATAAAAAAAAAAAAAAAAAAAAAACTGGGAAAAACCAAAAAAAAAAAAAAAAAAAAAAAAAAAAACTGGGAAATACCAAAAAGCAAAGAAGCAGAAACCAGACACTGGACAAGTATCCTCAGAAGCTGTGTGACCTTCAGAACGTTTCCGTCCTCTCTGAACTTCTGCATCAAGCTACACACCCCGCCCCACGAAAGACCATACACACAAGTATAAGCAAATGCTTGGGTAGAAAGGGGTGAATCCAAAGCTTCAAGTTAAATAGAAAAGAACCTGAAAAAGAGATTAGTGATGGACCACAAAACGAGGAAGGAAAGAAGGCAGGCAGGAAACAGGAAGCTCTCCTATTGACCATTGGGACCCGCAGCTCCCGCCAAGGGGAGAGGGAAACTGTTTTCTGCATCTGTGGCAGGCAGCTCATACACCATAAGGCTATTTAAAAATGTTTAAAAATAGTGCATCCAGTAGTTTCCGCTGTTACAGGTTTTCAACACTCTGTTATTTCAAGATCCCATGATCCTCTCTCCCAAGGCCCACACATACCTCTTCTGAGGCCAAGCTTAAGTTGTGAGTCAGCCTGCCTTATAAACCTGGTGGCTTTTCTGTAAATGCCTGACCATAGGAAGACGCAGAGCTGTGCCAAAGGCACAGGAGCTCCTGTTACAACACTGAATCAAAGCCACGGGGCAGAGGGTTCCAACTCCAGTGCTGCCGCAAACCCACATCTCTGCCGAGTTTGACGTCACAACCAGATGACAGGCATCGGCTGTGAACCTCTCAGGTTGGGAGGCACCATCGGAGGATGAAAAGTGAAGAATCCATGAGATCTGGGTGACGGTTCCTTAGCTTGCCAATTATCACAGAAGTAAAACATTCAACATCAAGTCATGAGCAGAAGAAAAATAAGGAGAAACTGAAATATTCTGGGAGAGTGCAGTAACCGTCTGAATGAGACGGGGTCCTGTCGTGATGAGGTATGCAGGGTTTAACTGAACTTGGAAAACAGGTACGCGTCACAGCTCGTATTTCTGTTAAAGTTCTGAATAACAGGTGGACATTCGCTTAAGTTTCTTGGCTGGCACTGGACTGCCAACTCAACTCCAGATGGCAGCAAGAGTTAACCTACTTCCTGGGCTCACCCGTGTAAGGTGTACCCTTAACTTAATCAAACAGTACTACAATCTGGAAAACAAAAACCAGAAACTACAGGGGAAAAAAAAAAAAAAAAAGACCTGAAGGCCACGGGCTCTGGAAGCCCTGAGGCATGACAGCCAGGACTGGAATTCCCCTCTGCCAGCCAACAATGTCAAACCTTCAGGTGATGACTTCACTTCCCTGTGCTTCAGAGCATATGTCTATAGCACAGGGATTTTAATGGTGTGAGGAGAGTCAGCGAATATACACACAAGGCATTCAGAATCCTGCCAGCTACGCGGTCCATGTGTCATTTTAAAATAATAAGGTGTGTGTGACAAAATTTGAAAGCGAGCCACGGTCCAGAGCTCAAGGAAATAACACGTGACGGGCTGTGCACTAGGGAGACATGACTAGAGTGCTCCCAGCCTTTCTGGTAGAACCCTGTGTGTGTAATTCCTGGAGAACGGTGGAAGAGTTAACGCTCTTCTTCCTTATAGAAAACGGGGCTGAGGGCTTTCTCTCTTGCTGTGCCTACCATTTCTTCTGGTAGTCCTGGCTGAGATACAGACTAAGAAGAAGACCCCCCCCACACACACACACACCTTAATCCGCTGTACTGCATTCTTTCCCCACCCGTTATAGAAACAGTTGCTAGGAAACTGGCCCATCCCTCTAGGGAGGGACACCAGATCATTAATGGTTTGGGGACCTTCCTATAGCCAATCAATTCAAAATGTAGCATTTTGACCAACAGATGCTTGCCAGGCAGGAACCACCCCTGCCTTGGGCATGCTGGGAGGGACCAGAATCTTTAAATCACCAACTAACCTGAGCATGGCGGTGGGGGTTGTGGGCCCAAGCTGCAGCTTGTAATTTGTAGTTTGTAATAAAAAGATCCTCATGTGGTTTGCCACGGACTCGGCTCCTGGTGGTGGTCTTTTGGGGTATTGCGATTCAGGCACAACAGCTGAGATACAGACTAAGAAAAGACCCCCCCCCCACACACACACACACCTTCCCAAAGTACTTATGCATCAAGAAAAATTAGCCCAGCTCTTTACCCTTCAAAGTTAAGATTAGTGCTAATCTAACATCGCTGCCTCCCTGTACAGACAAAGAAAATCACTTTAAAAGTCCCTGCACCTCTATCCATCGTATCTAACAGCGGTGTCATCCTTTGCTTCCAATTCTGCTGCGTAGCCTTAAAAAAAAAGATGAAAAAAAAAAAAAAAAGCAAGTGGGTGGGGGAGGGGGTAAAGCGAAAAACACCCGGATGCTGAAGACTTCTCTCATTACTTTTCTCCTCACTGCAAGAACTAGGTTTTAGCTGCTTAAGTCGGGTTGTAATTCATGGAGGAAATGGTTCTCAGTCTTGGCTCTTGGGATCCAAGGGTCCACCCATCGCAATGCAGGGCAAGGCCTTCTTTCGCAGCACATGGCCAGAGAGACAGTAATGATGGAGAGGCAGGCTGACGGTGGCGCAGAGAGCGTGACCTTGTTTGCCAGGGAGGAGGGGAGGTAGGGGCTGGTGGAGCTCCTCTGCCTCCTAATTCTAAGAAAACTCAGGACAGAATCTACCTCTAGTTTTATTTTTTTTCCTCCTACGCTCAAGGAAATGAGGATGAAACTCGAATTCATGGAGAACCAAGTAGGACAGGCATGGACGGGCGCAAAGCTCATCCCGCCTGCCGCCCCACGGTTGGTCTGCGTTCTCTAGAAACGCATCCAATCTGGCGCCCCCAGCCTCTCGCCCCTGCACACACAGGCTGCAGCACGCGCACATCCCCACCTCCACGAGTGCTGAATCCTGCTGACTCACCCACCACGCAGGCTGCGCTTTCAAGATGCCAAGGGTGGGCACAGGCCCTGAGGACACCGGTTGGTCAAAACCGGTTAGGATTACTTGAATCCAGGGCCCCTCCTGCGCCAGGGCTACCTGCCAGCGCCAAGCTACCCCGCAGCTCCAGGGCAACCAGCTCCCCGAACTCCCGGCTCGCCTTCCCCCTCCCCACCCCAACTCACCGGCACTCGGTCTGGGTATTTCTTCCTAATCTTTTCACCTTCCTTTTTCCGGTACTCGAAGGGGTGGTCCTCCTTATATTGAAACTTCATTATGGACCGCGGGATTTAGGAGCTCCCCGGACCTGGCCTGCTGCGCGCGCTGGTGACTGCCCTCTTGTCCGGCCACCTCTAGTCAACGTCAACCTTATCACAATCGCTCCACCCGCGTCAGCTCCCACGCGCCCCTCGCCGCACTACTACGTGGCCAAACGTCCTGACCGGGACCTGGAGATCTCCAGGCCTGAAGGTAAAGGACCACCAGGTAAAGAAACACGGTGGCTTTTCCCAAGAGCTGGGGACACAAAAACACCGGGGCGGTGCTGTGACATCACGACGCCCCGCCCCCGGCGCAGAAGACCTGCTGGATGGGGGTGGACGGAAACATTGTTTATTTGTCTGCGTCTTCTTTATGCCTAAGCTTTTCCAAATCCCCCCAAGAAAAGCAAAACTATTTTATTTTGGTTTTTGTCGTTGTGAGTTGATACTACAGATATTTTGTTAATCCAAAGAATAGTCTAACAAATGTCTTCTTCCCTCCCCTTCATGTTTCTTGCTTGATGACCCAAACAAACACACAGGAAGAAAATCCAGCTGTTTCCAGAGCAATGGGATCAGGAGTCTGATGGTGGAAAGGTGCCAGGCGTCACGAGATCTGTAGCCCAGGCTGAAATGTCCTGTGCTTGCATTTTGACCTTTGCCTCTGGCACCCGCGGCTGGCCTGGCTTCTCCGCCCCAGCTCCTCCTCCCCACTTTGGCGTCCTTTCGTTTGGATCTCTGCTAGAATTGGTACAGAGACAACATAAACAGACCGTGACTCAGGGATTTGAAGACCGTGTACGGGGGAAGAACAGGGAGTCCTCAAGGTTAGAAGAAGCGATGCCAGCGAGGAACACCGGGCTTCGTGCACGTTCAAAGAAAATGATTCCTTTCACTGTATCCGCTTAACCCAGAAGTGTGGTCCTGGGTTCTTGGAAATACAGAGGTCAAGCAGTGTAGGTGTCTAATATCCCCAACAGTATTTTCCAGGGGGTGGGCATCATCTGCAGTCCTGATGAAAAGGCCTCATGGGAACCAAAAGCCCCGGCTAGCTCGCTGATGGAAGGCCCTAAGTATAGTCAGCCCAGGCCCTGCCGGCATACTGAATTCCCCACTGAGACTCTTTGGATGCTGGGTTAGCCTACAGCTCCTTCTGGCAGTAACTCCAGACCTGTATTTTGGGAGCATCGGAAATGGCAGAGGGAGGTCAGGGATGCTGTGAAAATAGAATTACTTCTAAAATGGTACCGGGCAAGCTGTTCCTACTGCCTGCCTGATTTTTCTTTTCTTTCTTTTCTTTTCTTTTCTTTTCTTTTCTTTTCTTTTCTTTTCTTTTCTTTTCTTTCTTCTTTCCTTCCTTCCCTCCCTCCCTCCCTCCCTCCCTCTCTTCTTTCTTTCTTTCTTTCTTTCTTTCTTTCTTTCTTTCTTTCTTTCTTTCTATCTTTCTTCCTTTCTTTCTTTCCTTTCTTTTCTTCTCTTAGTGGCTTGACCTTAAAAATGTCACAAAGTAAAATGAGCTAAATTTAACTGTCAACACAAGAAAATGAAAGGCGTAGACGGCTTCTTGTTTTTCTCCTAGGAAGCTTTGAATCGTACCTACGTATAAAGACCAATGAGTTGATGCATCACATTGTTCTGTTTATCTTAATAATTTTCAAAATGAAAATAGTGTAATACCCCCATAATCATTTTTACCTTTGACTCGAATACAATGAAGTCTTCCAGACGATAACTTTACAACAGTGGTGGTGAAGCCGGGGATTAAGATGGTAATAATGTCATTTTCTGAGTGACCTTCAGGTTTTTATAGATGTACATTCTCAGCAGTTCTTCAGTCCAGTCTTACTGGCATTCAGGGTCCTGGTTTCAGGTAGCGCCCCCTACTGGAGAAGCTGTCCTTCACAGGCCTAGACATCCCTAGCCATAGTAAAAACCCCAGTCAGACTGGACTGATTCTCAGAGGAACAGAACCAGCGCCCTCCCTCTCTGAAGGCTTGGACACCCCCGGGGGCAGCAGCCCTCTGCCTTAATCACCCCAGAGCAACCAGAGACCACCTCAGCAATGAGAATTCACTAGAAAGCTGCTCTAGAGAGTCCCTTAATCTCTCAGACTATTGGAACAACTGGCCCGCCAAATAGAAATTTCCCCAGGAATCTCGTGCTTGGAGAAAGAAAAGCCACCAACTAGAGGAGGAATTTGTAAAATTTCAAACAGTTCCAACAACTTGTTTCATGACCCTCCAGGATAAGACTGGAACCCATATAATAGCCTTAGTATAGGGGACTGTACCTCAGTTGGGACCAAGTAGCTGTACATATATATGTTGGCCCTCTCTGTACACTTTGATCTCACTTCAGGACCCTGAAGACAAACTTGAGGGGTTTGCTGGATCTCTATCTCCATCTTTCCCAGCGTGGCCAACTGAATAAGCCTCCTTTCTTAGCTTTCCACTATTGATCTGGCTCTTTTTATTGGCTGTTGAAGATGGGTTGGCGGACCTGACTTGGGACAAAGGTTGTGATGTCAAGTTTGATAACAAAATGACATCCGCAAAGAAACAAAGGCACACTGAGGGGTGCCAGGGACGCCGAGTGAGCTGACCCCGGGTAGAGAGGAGGGATGGACATTCTGATGAGCTGCTGGAGTAATTTCCTCCAGGGATGGTTTCCTCTTCCCACTTCATGATGGGCTGCTTTTCCCTCCACTTGGTGATGTTCTGCCCAGTTCACGAACCGCAAAAGATCAGGAATAAACAGACTCTGATGTAAATACATGAGGTTCTTACAAGCTGCAGCTTGGGCCCACACCCCCACTGCTGAAGCAGTGAGAGCCGAGTGCCCCGTAGGCAGGGGCGATTCCTGCCTGGCAAGCATCTATTGGTCAAAATGCTACATTTTGAATTGATTGGCCATAGGAAGGTCCCCAGACCATTAATGACCTGTTGTCCCTTCCTAGGGGGATGGGCCAGTTTCCTATCAACTGTATCTCTAATGGGTGGGGAAAGAATGCAGTAAGGCGGTCCTTCCCCTCAGGGCATTACTGGACTTCTCCACCCACCTAGTTCAGGCCTTAATTAATAATAGCTGCTAATTTTTAATCTTTTGGTCTCTCAGTGAGACCGAGAAGCCACTTTTTCTTGAAAATCTGAGTGTCCTCTTGATCCGTACACTTTGCTTTTCTGTTTGCCTTTGGACTCTTTGGAGCAGTTTGGGGTTCTTTTGAACCATTTGAGGAGTTGCTGCCTGGTGATTGGCTTTGTCTGCAGGTATCATTCCGTTGGAATGTAGCGTGGTGTTGTAGAACAGAAACACAGTGACGGGCTGAGGCAGCGGCCTTCCCCCTCTCACAGAAAAAGACAGGCATTCTACAGAAGCGCTGCCTATGAGTCCCTCTCTAACAGGCATTGCCACATTGGTGGCAGGATCGAATTTCCTGCTCCCCAACCTCTTCCTTGCCTTCTGTCTGGGAATCAGTATTTTGCCAAGAGCTGATCCTACAAACCTCCCTGATCCCCAGACAGCCATAAACACCAGCTCCCATGTCTGCCCCATGGGCTCTGATTTCTCTTTTGACAGATCCTGTCATCTGTTGCTTCTCTGTCTGTGGTACTGTCTTCTGATAAGCTATGTTTCTTGTTCACTAGTAGCCTGTCTTGGGCTTCTCTTGAACCCCACCCACTCCTATGCAAAACTGAAAACTAACAAACTATCAACTACTACACAGTGAGTGAAAAACAACTTGTGAACAGTTTCAGAAAGAGCGGAGACCAGAGTTTGTCTAAACCCAACTGTTCCTTTAAAATCTAAAGGAAATAACTTTCTTCCTAGAATTTCATATCAAGCCAAACTAGCCTTCAAGTGTGGAGGTAGGTCAGGACACTGGGGACATGGAGGCCATCCAAGCGTTTCCTTCTCATGCACACATTTTCAGGAAACGGTCTCGGTGTACAGACTACAACCAAGAAAGGAAAAGACACAGGATAAAGGAAACAGAAGTTAGAACAATGCGGGGGTGAGGGGTGTCTGCACGATAAGACAAGTGACTAATATTGTGGATGTATAATACTCGTGCAGTATTGTAGTTTGGGTTTGCTTTATGCTCCTGTGGTAATGAAATGCAGGCATACTCAATGTGTCACTATTCAGCCACCAATGAGGAGACCAAGAATGACCAAGTGGCTGTCCTAACACTGGGGCAGAAATTAAAGGACAGAGCTAGAATTTGAATGCTCAAAGCCTGCTTTCAGAATTTTAACCGTTATGATCTTTTTCCCTCTGTTTACCGTATTGATCTGACCAAAATTATTTGTCCCTTGATAAAATTTGTCTCCTTCCAATTGGACTCATGGTTATCTTTTTTTATTTATTCATTTATTGCTGCCTGGAGGAGAGAACAGTTCGAATTTACCACTTACACAGTCATCATGATTAGTGCCACAGAAGAGAGGTGGCCGGTAGTCCAGGGTAAGGAAGACTGGCCCCCTTCCTTACGTCGACACACATTGTAGGTAAAGTGGAACTCCTGAAAAGTCTAGATTTTTGGAGCCCCAGAGCCATTAGGCAGGAATAAGGACAGCACAGCGTGAGTATTCATAGAGAAGAGCCTTTCATGTTCCCTGCCTGCTCTCAGAACTCTGGGTGTTCATTGTATGAACTAAAGCAGGGGAGCTTGGGGTGGCCCAGCAGCTCAGTGGCCATGCCCCTTCTGTATTTATCTCCTCCTTGTGTTCACCTTTTCATGAGGAACACATCCAAAAAAGTAATGCTATACTCTCTCCTTCAAATACTTACACAGAGGCATTTGTCCAATGCAGGACAAAGCCCAAAGTGCTTATGGTCACATTTAATATCTTTATGTAAAGCAATTCCAACTTGTCTTTCAGTATTCGGTCCAATTACATCACTCAGAATTTCTACTATTTTCTGTAATTCAAATTTTTTTTATTATTGTTATTGGTTTTTTTTTATTTAATTTTTTGTTGTTGTTGTTAGTTTTTCTTGTCACAAAAACTGTCCTTCTAGTGCTCATTTGGTATTGAAAATTTTATTATTTCTCATCTTGAAATTTGGCTCGTTTCCTGCTTCCCTTTTCAAACATTAAAATTGTGAGGACTTCTGGGGTGAGAAATGGTGAAACTCTGGGTTGTCTAAGGTGTGTGTGCCAGTGGAGGACAGCAGCCAGCATTACTCAAACAGAGCAAGTCAAATATTTTCCAGAGTTAACACTTGGCGCTTCTGGAACAACCCATAAGTCAAAGAAGTTATTTTCCCACTCCGCTTGCTCA